ACATCTGCGAACAAATATAATTCTATAAAGTGGTTCTATGTAGTGTGTAACCGTTGATACAGAGCGTTATTAAATTTATTGCTAATGCAATCATATGACACACTGACTTCTGAGGAAATTTTAAATGGCACTCCTCATCAGAAAGGTTGCCTACCCCCTGTTCTAGTATCTACGGGACTACAGTTGTTTAGAGTTTAGTAATTATAAAATACAAATAAGCATGAAATTAACTGAATGGGAAGTGCTGCACTCACAGCATAAGAATTTCCCTTTTTCAGCTGTTCACAAATAAAAACGAGACCTCAGGTTTGCCCACAACAGTTTAAGAACCACTCCAGTGAGTCTGAGACAGCAAAAGAAGCTCTTGATTATGAGGATGCGGGCCATAAATTTGTTCAGGTATAGATGCCACAGACTTTACAGTGTAATTTTAAGCAAATCACCAAAACAGAGACTGAAATTGAATGAGCAGGGTTATTGGGTTTCTTTCAGCAGGTAGTAAGAAGCAAAAACGTTTAAGACAGCAGTATTATACTACCATCTGCAGGGGAAAGTACAACATTACATCTGCATAATGATGTAGTAGGTGAGAGGAGCAAGGAAGACTAATCAGAATTTCCCCAAAATAACTAAAACCTAATTTCTGTTTTCTCGGTAATTACATTAAAGGCGTATGCCTTGATGTGTACCATGATTTGGTAATCAGGGTGGAATAAATAACAACAAAAAGAAGACAAATGTCACATTGTTCAGCATTCTTCCTGTTTGAAATTATTCATTTCCAGGGAAACTGTTTTGATACAAGTGCAATTTAATGATTAAAACTTTCTTGCAGATGCAATCTTTTCTCTTTGTTTTCTTTTTGGTGGGTGCGGTTAGCTGTTTGACCAACACAGACAGTGTTCACGGGCAGAGCTGATAAACAAAAGAGCTGTGACTGGGCATTATTCTTCAGTACAAATGTATTCAGCTGAGCTAACTGAGAACAGAAAGCACATAATGTAATAAGAAATGTAGCACAAAATATGAATTTGGTTTCCACGCCTGACCTTGCTTTGTGTGTCCTGTGAGGAACTTCTCTATAAATTATTGCAGTTTTGTTAATGTGATCATTCTTTCTTTAGAAGCCACCTCATCATGAAACACTAGAATTGTTTTTTATAGTTCAACATATGAGGGTTGATAAGTAATCATCATTTAATCATCGTCACTCATCATCATTCAAATTAAAGTTTGAAGCGGGAAAGGAACCAAATCACTTTTGGACTCATTTTATGCTGTGCGCACACATTTTCTCTTCCTTTAGTAGTTGGTTTAATTATAGAAACCAAGACTATAGAACAAATACCAAGTAGGTCTATGCATTCTTCTTTTTCTTAATTTGAAGAACAGTTTTAACAAACCGATGACTGTATAAAATGTTTTTCTACATTTTTTGTAACAAACGCAGATCGCTTGAATGCACCGTGGCGATTTGACAGATTTTACAAAGAGTACGTGAAAGCAACACGACTCTAGACATCGCACTGTTGAATTGTATCGCTCCGCCTCCTCTAAAGCGTTGACTCGTAAGAAATAGAAAAACTCAGAGACAACATTTTTCTGTTCAAGCGATTTTTATCAAATGAGGGAAGTTTAAGACGGTGCTCACTCTACTTTCTGTAGTACCAAGGTTTATTTTGATAGAAACGTGAGAGTGAAAGTGAGCTCACTCGGTCCTACGACTGTTGTTTCTGTTAACACGTGGATTCATTCCCACCCAGGAAACGGCCTTTTTAATTTTTTTTT